CTCCACACTTTTGGTGTTTTCGTCTCCACCTCCATATCCTTGTGTGTTGACCCTTCTTTCCCGTGCTCGACTCGTTGACGCTTCTGTTTGAGTTTAGCTCCCACGTGAGTCTGCTCTTTCCCCTGTTGCAGCCCTCCCTTTTCATCCAAAATTGCCATCCTCATCCCACCCTCATCTTAATTCCTTATCCCTTTACCAACTACGACTAGCCATTTATCCCCCCCCCCCCCCCCACACACACACACACATTTGTGTGTCCTTTTGAGGCTCTCAATTCAAGACCAAAAAGTAACCCTTCACTCTTGCCTGTACCTTCAGGATAGCGCAGGGAGTACCTTTCGGTATGACCAATAATGTCGCAAACAAACAAAAATTAGGTAGTTTTCGTACCTAAATTTGACACGAAAATTTTCCCCTTTGTTCAATTGAAGGAATAACTTCCTTTTCAGTGGCTTATTCAAATCAATACTAACTCTTATTCTCATATAAGGGTTCCATTTGACAGAAAAATTGTGTGCATCCACCTTAATAAATCTGCCAACAAAATTCCCAATTTTTATGGCATTTTTCTCAGAAAAAAATCCCACTTCAATATCATGAACCTGCAGCCAAAAAACCGCCTTATTCAGCGGCACTACCATAGGCAAGTCTCCTTTCTTTAGCTTAGCAACGACAATAAGATTCTGATGGGATTGAAAGCCCATGGTCGTTCCCCTAGAACTCGTAGCATATCATTTTTACTATAGAATTGGAACATGTACCTTCGTGCACCTATCTCAGTAATAGTAACACCTCTAACAGGTTTCCACACATTTGCCATAGTATCACAAAAAAAATGACAAGCGTACGATTTTTCAAAAGTGACTGTCCCTACCAGAGACATAACCACCTCTTCGATCCCCGGAGCCGTGGTCTCCACCTGTAAAAATTTGTCTCCTTCTTCCATCTCCATTCTGTCATGCGCATTTGCAAATCTCTCAATCTCTCCATATTCAGTCACGTTTGTCATCATCTTTTTCCTACTCTTCTTTGTGTTGTCTGTCAAACGAATCCAAAGATACCAAAGGCTTCCCCCTTTGCACGCTCAAAGGTTGTTGTCCTGCACAAACGCCCTGCACCCTTGATGACGACGCAATGTTTGAGCATCACCTACACCTCGATGCGTAACAAAACGTCGATCGATTGGGAAATCGCCGACCCCAAGCTAATCACAGCCCAACCATAGTTGCGGCAATCGTAATGATTACTTTTATTATCAATATTAGTACTTTTATTTTATTAATTTTTGTATTTTATTTTTTATAGGTTTTTGTTTTCTATTAGTTTGGTGTAACTAGCTGCTGGATATACTCAATTATCTATTCTAACTAGACATTTACAAAATATCAAGAACATACACAATTTACAGTTTAGTTATTAGTATGTGTACTTGAGAAAGATAAAACTAAAATAATATTCATGCTTAAGGATAAAATGTATAATACAATATTGGATGGTAAAACAATTTACTGTTTACCATCCATTTAGAGTTTTGATGTACATTTACTTATAAAATTTCAGTAAAACAATTCAGTTTACCATCCATTATTGTTTATACATTTTTCAAAAACTAATGGATGGTAAACTATAACGAAATGTCTAGCTGCCCAAAACTATTTACAATGCTTATAAAACTATTATGCCTTATAAGTTCATTACTTATTAAATAATCATTAAATTTAATAAATTAGTTACTTAAAGTCATAATCTGTTTAGAACTACTCTTGTAGTATTTTATATTTGTATCACTCTTGAGTTCCACCCACATCAAGACTTTAAATCAAAAAATAGTGTTGTGACGGCTCATCAAACTCACGGTCATAGTAATACGAAATATCAACTAATCTCTAGTAATATATCTCTACTTCTACTCAAATAGGCATTTGTTATTTCTATTTAGGGAAAAAGTACAAATATACCAATGTAGTATGAGTACGAGAATAAATATATCCATGTTCTATTTTTTGGAACAAATATACTCCTGAAATTTGTGTGGATGTTCATATATATCCATAAACTTTTAAAAGGTGCGGAAGTACCCCCTCATGTTCCTATAAATGAGCAAATTTACTCTTATTGGTTTAAATAAAAAAAAATAAACTTTAAAATTAAAATACTAAAAATAAATTATAAGTTCGAAATTGAAAAATAAAAAAATTAAGATTTAAAAATAAAGATTTATTTTTATATTAAAATATTAATTCTTTAATTTTAAATTTCAAAATTATTATTTTTCCATTGCAAATGAATCACTTAATTCATAAATATTAATTTTCGCTATTTTAAACACATTGTTACATTTTTGAAATAACATTTTATAATGATAAATTCATAAATGTTTGGTGTTTTTTGGTGTTTTTTGAAGTTTATTTTATCTATTTCTAACAACAATATAATTGTGAATCGGGGTTGGTACCTCTTATTTGTGTCAACACAATTTGTGCATAAGATGGTGTGCATTGTTCTTAAAAAGTGGAACCTTATTTTTCCATTTTCCTTCTTTACCCTTACGTTCCGTCAAATTTTTAAACACCTGTTAACTCACCCGGTCTTCGACGGACAAAAAAATAGTAAAAATTGAAAATAATAATCCCAATTATTATTAGTCCGCTATTAATAATCTGAACTATCGATTATTTCTGGTGGTGCCAAATATAGGTATCATTTTCCAAAAATAGTCCCTAACCTGCTATAACCTTGTATAGCAGGTCAAATTTAAATATGAACTATTCATAAGCTATAAATAATCTCAACTATAGTTGATCTTCTTTTATTAATCCCACTTATCAACAATGTTAGAGAAATATAATTTTTTTATAAATTTCCAAATTAAATATTTTTAAACATGTAAAAGTTATTATGAAAATTCTACAAATGTACCAAAGTTAAATAAAATATTTTAGCCATTTTTTATTTATTTTCACTAAAACTTCATTTTTTCTTTTTTTTTTCCAATCTATTATTCCTAGTTGTGTTAACAAGTTATGATTTGGTACTATTTTCTATTATTCAATTTTACATTTTCTGTTTTCAAAAACTAAGATGTGACTAAAATTTTTATGATTGAGAACTTTATTCTTGTTTTTTTCATGAAAATATATTTAATTAATTTTTATGCTATGTTAATTCTAAAAATCTAAATTCTCTATTTTATCCATTTCAGTATTTGTAATTTCTTTCTATTTTCATTATTTTATATGATAGTATAAATTATAAAATACAAGTTATCGCTCAATTTTAGTGATTTGGGGTATAGGTTTTGGAGTTTTTGACTACTTTTAATGAATTAAAAAAAATAGTCAAATTTCGCCTTGTACAATAATAGATCCGTCACTTAAACCCGTGTAAGGATCATATACACTCATTATACTCTTAAAACCCAGGTTGTTTTTACTTGGACTGTAATTCGTCCCAGACCAGACCAGACCAGATCAGACCAAACCAGACCAAAATAGATCAGACCAGACCAGACTAAAACAGACCAGACCAGACCAGACCAGACAAGACCAGACCATATTATTATTATTATTATTATTATTATTATTATTATTATTATTATTATTATTATTATTATTATTATTATTATTAGGGGTGTGCATCGGTTCAAAACCGGACCGTACCGTATCGAACCGAACCGTAACCTGATTTTTCATAATATGCAAACCGAAAACCGGACCAGATGCATTTCAGTTTTTACCTGGAATCGAACCGGTTCATCCGGTTCGAAACCGGAACCGGACCGATTCATCCGGTTCAAAACCGAAAACTGGACCGGATGTGTTTCGGTTTTTACCCGGAACCGAACCGATTCATCCGGTTCAAAACCGAAAACCGGACCGGATATCATTCCGGTTTGATCTGGTTCCTATTTTTCCGGTCCGATTCGGTCCGGTTTTCCGGTTAAACTGGATAGTGCATGCCCCTAATTATTATTATTAATATTATTATTATTATTACTATTATTATTATTATTATTATTACTTTTATAACGAATAAGACAAAATTTTAGCATGCTGGAAGGAATATTATTATTTTTAATTATAAATGAATAAAATATAATTAGTTATGGATTATAATATATATATATAATTTATGCAAAAAATATAAAAAATAAAATTTCAAACCAGACCAGACCAAATCAGACCAGACCAGCAAACTACGGTCCAAGTAAAAACATCCCCATTATACAAACCAAATTACTCGAAGGTTACCTATTTTAGCCAGTCACCAAGTGTCCAAGTAGTATACAACGTTTTTTCTTTTTCCTTATTCTTTTCACCCATTAGCCCATTACCAATGCATAGTTAATACTTCGATAATAGTCTTGATTAATAGAGTTTTTTTTTTCCCAATATGTCAGTTAATTTATAAATTTAAGCCGATTTTGTTCCAGTACTGAAAGTAGTTCATGTTATTTTTCTCGTTTCTGCACAATCACACAATTCCATTTTCTTAATCTTTTTCTTAATCTTTTTGCCAGGTCTAGAGAAACGTTATTCATGGAAACATGGGCCAGATGAAAGATAGTTGTTCATCACTTCTTTTACGGATTTAATGCACCAAACCCCCTCGTGATACAAAAATTCAGCGCATTAGCCCCGTGATTTGAAAAATGCATCAAACCCCCTTGTGTTTTAATTAATCATGTACAGAACCCCTTTTATGAATAAATTTAATGATTTTGAAATCATTTTTCCTAATATTCTGATTGAATATGTAAGTAAATATGTCAAAATCTCTAAATCAAACAAAAATGTTAATCATTTTTCTTTTATTTGACAATTGAATTGGTTCATAGAAGGGATTTTGTCCATAATTCATTAAAACACAAGGGGGTTTGACGCATTTTTTAAATCACAGGGAACTAATGCGCTGAATTTCCATATCACAAGGGGCTTTGGTGCATTAAACCCCGTCTTTTATAGACTAGAGTTCTCACTAGAATACCAACAATGCAAAAATGGCCAAAAGTGCGGTGTTTGAACATACGCACTCTGAAGAATTAAAATTGAAAAATTCGTATTTTTCAATGAAAAAGCTTTATATTGAACAGCACCTTATAACAGCACCCACATTGCTCTTGTGGAGGCGAGTATATTTTAACAAATGTTGCTACTATTTCAGTTTCCTGTGTGTACAAATTTGGACCCATCGTGCATACATCAAAATTTGCTTCCTACTTTAACATTCTCTATCAAACACAGAGAAATTCATCCAGGGGAATACCTTTCTCTTTTGCAGCTTCTTTTGCCAACTCTCCAGTCGACGTAGATAGACCCACATAAGATTTCCATAGCTTGATTGAGAATGGATATATCGACAATGCACTCCTATGAAAACTAATGGATATCTCCTCACAGTTCATCAGGCAAATCAGAAGACTCGCAGCTTCTGCCCATACGTACTCTGGTGCAACAGGGACCGCTTGAAAGAGTGCATTTGACAAGAGAGAGCCTGCCCAGAAAGAGACACTGGCAGAAAAGGAAGCCTTTCGGCTGCTTACCCACTTGCAGACGGAAATGGCTAGCGGATAGTTAGATGGAAGGATTTCCATCAAGCTCTCGACAAAGTCAACCATATCGGTCAATTTATCGGTTGTGCACGGTAAGAGAGACGGGCCAAACCACGATTTAAGGATAGAGTTCACCAGCGTAGGGTCTGATGGGATGGGACTCAGCAGTTTCCCTGCCAGCTGCCGGAGTCTAGGCTTCTTCAAGTTTCGGATGAAGTTTCGGGTCAATGGGTCAGACACGGGCGAAGAAGCACGGGCATCAAACAGGTAGCCTTTCACAACTTGTAAAGCACTTCTGTCTGCTGATGTTATCAGGAACATAATAAGCTCCCTAACACAATGATTGTAACACTCGGTATTATCAGCAGCATCCAACGCTTTATTCAAAGCCATACGAGCCTCGATTGGATCGTTTTTCATTAGTAGCTTATAGATAGCATAATTGAGTAACCCAAACACAACATCAGTTTGGGTAAAACTGGAAAGCCAAGAACTAACATCCGAGATTGAACCCGATTCAGGCAAATCATTCGACCGGAACCATCTATCAATTAATTCCTTCACGATATCCAATCTCCCGTCTCGGAACACACATTCTGTGTACTGGTTCCAAACGCACTGAACCCCAGGAACCTCATCAATCCAGTTGCCCAAAGCTTCTTCAAACCCTTCATAACTCCTCGAATCCTGAAACTCGTGTTCTACCCTAGCTGACATTAGAGCAAGTTCTAAAGAAGACGGGTAAAGCTTCTTGTATCGCTCCAGAAGGTTCCTGCCACAGTCTATCCCTTCAAGAACGGCAACGAACTTGACATGATTCAGAGCAAATAAGTGTGCCGCACTTAGATTTAATTCATCCTCAAGAGACTCTCTATCGATATGCAACACTAGTGAATCTACAGCTAATTCCATCAGGGAGACCACTTGCTGCTTCTCGTCAGTAGTTAACTGAGTAGGCGGCCACTCTATGGAAGAAAGCTCTTTCTGGGATTCAAGCTGGTTGGCTATGGAATCTGGTAGTCTTCTATACACGACGATGTATACACAGCAAACCCAGAAAATGCATTTATCAGAAATGGTTAAGCGGGGGATTATGTCAGGGAAGAACAAGTTATTATGTGGGTTGTTAGGTATGTTTGTTGTGGAGAAGAGATCATTGATCTTCTCAATGGCTTTTCCAATGTTTCCAGACATGGCCAGAAAATTCATCATCTGGAGAGTGAGGTCAAGGATGCATTCGCTGGCAAAGGCATCTCTGTTTGAAATGTTTTGGCAAAGTGAAGATATTGCAGCATCATATGCAGTCAACCGCTCATCAAGTGTTTCACGGCTATTAATATATAACACCCACAGTTCATATGATTCTTTGCTGTGTTCAACCTGCGAAGCAAAATATCAGACCCAAGCTCAAATTAAATACTCTTAATAACCTAATAGACTAATACACTGATACAGACCTGGACAGAGTAGTGTGAATAATAATAATAATAATAATAATAATAATAATAATAATTGTACGGGAGTATAAATAGAAGCTAAGGAGTAATAAGAGGTTAGGCAGAAATTTGGGAATAGGAACTGGGACTCTGAGAGAGATGGGCGCTCTCGAACTTGCCTCTATACTTCTATTACGTATCTTCCGTTGCTCTGTAAATTTTAGGATATCTCAGAATCCCTTGATTGAATATACATACTGTTTTTACTGTTTGGATCGATGCCCTATCATACACTCCACCCCAAATTACAAAGCCCTGTGGTTTTTGATAACCAAGTGAGGTGTAGAATGCTTTTAAAAAATTGTTCCTTAAGTGAGGTCAACTGTCAAACGATTTCAAAAAGTTAATAGGAGAGCAAAAGGATAGTGATGCTCAAATTGGGAAACTGCTCATCATTTTGAAACGTATTCATAAGGAAAATAGGACAAACAAAATGGCATATGGGGAGCATTTTAATGCATTCTTCATGCAAATGCATTTGCAATTATGAAGATATAAATGAGCCCGTAAGAAAAAATTACTAGTAGTTACACAGATAGAGATCAAAATGCTCAACAAATTTTATACTTGTCCCATGTTACTTTGTTTGATAATTAATTTGAACTATACCCTTTGATATTTACAAGTGTAATATTTTATTAATATAACAAACCAAACTGAGAGATGCCATTTGAAAAGAAAAGCCCGTGAATATTTGGTATACTAGATCTGCATAAATAAATAAAAAACTGTTGTGGACGCCTTTCTACTTTCTAGTTCTACTTTCTAGGATGCACGTATCAGCGGCATCATAAATGAGGTGCAGGAAAAACCAAACACAACATGTGTTGGCCAGCAAAGTGGCTGAGGAAGCTGCGTGACAAGTCTGGCAGCTGGCAGTCAATCAATTATGACATCTGGGTTATTTTTAGATTATTTGTTGTCTTTAGTACCCTCTTTGTCTCTGAATGATTTCAATACTCTTTCTGCGTGATTTCCTTTAGTTTCAGAACTCTGGTGTAGCCTATATAAGGGCCTTTGTTATATGAAATAAGGATATCTTGGGAAGAATTAATTGGAGTGTGTCTTGAGTCTTGACAAGGCCGGACACCAAATTAATTCTAACTAAAGCATAGTTATTCCTCCCAAAGGTATTTGTCTTGCACAGATCTAAAATTCTAAGCATACATAAATAAATATCTATTGCTTCAATGATAGGAACCGGGCAGATTAGTCTCATAATAATGATAGAATTATACTAAATAATTGTGATATTGTAAAAATAAGGGTTTCGGGCCATGTAAGTCATGAGTTTGAGCCGGCCCTTAAGAATAAAATTATTATAAGAATTGGAGGGAAGAAAGAAGTAGGGGAGGCAGAAAGTTGGTTGGGACTGGGACTGTGACTTGGGAGTGCCCTACTCAAAGTGTCTCAATTGTACCTTTCTATTTTCAGTTTTTAACAATTTCCATCTTAATATACATCAATTTACCGTCAAATTCTGGTCTCTATCATTGGTATCAGAGCAGTCAACTGCGGGAAGCTTCTATCGACATTCGCGCTATAAAAACATGGGGCAGCACAGGGATCATCGACGGTCAGAACAGAAGGTGGCCGCCTCTGGTTTGCGCGCGAACATGGAGAAGCGCATGTCTACGCAAGAGAGGAGGGAACCACGCATGCAGCATCGAAGATCCAATCAGGATGCCTCGCGCGGAAACTTGGAGAAGCGCTTGAACCTGGGGAATTGCTTGAACACGGAGAAGCGCATGAAGAGCAAGGAAAAAGTAAAAAGTGATTGGACGAAGAAGATGAGGATCTGGTTGGACAAAATGTGCACCAAGCTGCGTCGACAATGTCGCCGGCGAGGACGATCGAGGAACGTTCATCGTTGCCATTGCAAGCATCTTTTCTCAGTTCGCAGGTTTCCTCACCAGCATCTTCTTCTTTCAGTTCGCAAGCTTCACCGCGAGCAGATTTCTCCAGTTCTCAGGCTTCATCGCAAGCCGATTCTTCCAGATTGTCGCTCGTCGTTTCTCCCCGTTCGCAATCGCGAACTGCTTCTCCCAGTTTTCCATCGCTATCCCAGTCTCCCGGTTCGTAGCAGGAATCTGTTATTCAGCGGCAACTTCCATCTGAAGCTACGTTCATCGATTGTGACGAAGGATGAGGGAGAAATCTTCTGTGGTGTTTCAATCCTCGATTGCCATGGAATTTGAATCTGCTGATGATAAAATCGTTGGTCCCTGAAATCTCCATAAGTACTGAATATTCAGTGGCCCCTCTACTAGTATGGGAGATCCTGTTACATCTGCAGCCCTGGTCGATGGTACCCAAAGTTCTGATGTAAGTACAGCTAATTTTAAAGACTCTGTTCAGCTGGAAATCCTTAATGTCACTGGACAAGTAGATAAATCTCAAGCTACCTCGTATACTGCTTATATAAATGGAATTAATAGCGGAGCCGCCGGAGCGAGAGATGCAGCATTCACCAGTGTCCTAGAAAATGGAATAAAATCAGACATTATACATGATGTTGCCACAATGCATCGGCCAGTAGATGATTTTACAATATCTCATGAAGAGGAACGATAATGCAGCATTGTGATAACCAAATTTCTAGATTTTGGTGCCGGGACTGTCTGTATAGAGGAAACTGAGAAAGTAGTAGAGGGGGGGCATTGTGAAGAAGTATGCATTTTTGGTTCTCTGAATACGGTGGTTGAGAATTGAGATATACGAAGGAGCCGTTCAAGGAGTGACATCTTCTGTAGACCATGTGGTGCCGTGGTGGTACTATGCTGTAATGGGGATAAACATGGATGGGAATCATGAAACAATTGGAAGGCGGGTTGAAGGAGCGCTACCATGTGCTGAAACAATTGGTCCCTATTTAAGCAAATTTGTCTATTCTTCAATGATATTCTCATATACAGCAAATCGTGGGTGGAGCACGTCAATCAAGTTTGTTTGGTACTGGAGACATTACAGAATCCGGGGCTTTTCTTAAATAAATCCAATTGCAACTTCGGGGCAGCTCAAGTCCAATACTTGGGCCTCGTTATCCATTCCGACGGAGTCGCCTATTTACAGTTGTCTCGGTAGATGCAGTTTTTTAAAATAAGATTTTTTGACTTCATGAGTTGCCCGAAATCATCACCCCAAACCGAGACAAAATTTTCTTAAGCACTTTTTGGCACGAACTATTACGCCTGCTCGGCACATGTTTGAGTTTTTCTTTGGCATACCTCCTCAAACGGATGGCCTGACCGAGGTTGTAAACCGCACAATGGAGATGTTCTTACATTGCTTAACCAGAGATTATCCTCCAGAGTTGGGCAAAAAGTTACCCTGAGCAAAATACTGCTACAACACCTCCTACCATGCTGCATTGGGGGACAAACCTTTTCAGGTCATATATGGGTGCACCCCTCCAATGTCCAAACTTGTCCTATAGACCTGGTACAATTCAATTGGATGGTGTAGACCACAAACTCATCGATAGGGATGAGTTACTGCGCATGACACACTCATAATTGGCTCAAACACAACAACGCATGAAAAGTCAAATTGATAAAGGTCATCGAGAACTTTCTTTTGAGCAGGTGCATAGGTGTGGTTGTGTATCCATCCCTATCACCAACTCACACTAATTCGTCTAAATCATAAATTATTACATAAGTTGTATGGACATTTTCAAGTGACAGCCTGAATAGGCCAAACTGCATATAAGCTCCAGTTAACAAAGCAGTTGCATTCTTGATGTCTTCCATGTTTCATTATTGAAACCACACCATGGGCCACCGCCGGGGACTATGAGAATTCTTCCACCACTAGAAAAAAATCCTTCGAGCACGGCTGAACGCGGGTACATGGGAACTCCTAGTACATTGGCATGGCAAGTTCGAAGAGAATGAATCTTGGGAGACATTGAAAGAGTTTCAACATGCTTACCCAACGTTCGAGCTTGAGGACAAGTTCTTCACTTCTTTGACAACGAGGAGAGAAATGTTGTGAAGGCTTTTCTACTGACGCATGAATCAACGGCGTCGTAAAAATCATCTAGGCGTAAATGACATGCCGGGAAAACTAAACACAACATGTGTTAGCCAGCAAAGTGGCTGAGGAAGCCACATGCCAAGTCTGACAGCTGGCAGCTGGCGCTCAATCAATTATGAAAGCTGGGTTATTTTCAGATTATTTGATGTGATAGATTTGTTGTCTTCAGTATCTTTTTTGTCTCTGAATTATTTCAAGACTCCTTTTGTGTGGTTTCCTTTAATTTTAGAACTCTGATGTAGCCTATATAAGGGCCTTTGTTATACGAAACATAGATATCTTGGGAAGAATTAATTTGCATGTGTCCTGACAAGATCACACACCAAATTAATTCTAAGTAAAGCATAGTTGTTCATCCCAGGGGTACTCATCTTACACAAGTGTTCTTAACAAAAACTAGTTTTTTGTATTTTGATAAAGTTGAGATACCTCTAACAAGAAAGTGCACAAGAATACAAAAGGAACAGGGGAAGTTATTTATTCTATATAAACATCCCAGAAGATAATAAAAAACAACTGCATAAATGTATTTGTTCACATTAAAAAAGTAGTACCGCGTGTTTGAACATGTCATCCTTCCCAATGCACTTTTGATTGCTATAATAAATCAACAAGTAAACAATCCACAGAGCTGCTGAAGTAGGACAAGCTTCCAGAGCACGAGCAAGCACTTTCAGAGCCTACATGTTTCAATGTGTGTATGAGCTTATATAACACATCAATGAAATACAAAGGGACAACTTGCAAGAGAAAGAAATACCTGAATTCGGCCTTTGCTTTTATTACCCTCTTGACAGAGACTCAAAAGAGCCAATTCTATGGATTGATCATCATCTGAAAATTGGTGGCCACCTTCAATCTGTTAAAGCACAACCAGCATGAGGAATTAGCAAAGAGTAAAAGCTACTGTTTACTTGCAAAAGATGCACAAAGTAGTGTAGCTGTCAGAAGTCACAACTAACTTCTTGCGTAATTTTGTAAGCGGTTTGACCTTACAAATGGGTACCGAACCACATCTGGGGTGAGTAGGCTTTGTTTAAATTACCTTCTGACACAACTATTGATAGAGAGCGGGGAGAGCAGGGGGGCTGTGTGGAAGAAGAGGGTCCGAAATCCAAGGCTGTCGGTTTACTGCAGGCGGGGACAGGCTTGAGCCCACCTTCGTGGGCTGGCTGTGAGCCATTTAATTAATTTTATTCTTTTATAATTTTCCTAATTTGTTTCCTATTTGGAGTTAATTAGGATTTATATTATTTGTTTCCTATTTGAAGTTAATTAGGATCTCCATTATTCTTTTTCCTATTTGGAGTTGATTGGGATCTCTATTATTCTGTTTCATATTTGGAGTTGATTAGGATTTCTATGATTTTGTTTCCTAGTTTGGGAATTAGTAACAACAACATCCAAGCCTTAATCCCAAAAGATTTTGGGATCGGCTATATTTGGGGATGCAACACGAGGATTTCCCTGGGGGTCACCCATCCTAGTACTACTCACATGCCCAATCACGCTTAACTTCGGAGTTCTGATGGGATCCAGTGCATTAGTTTGGGAATTAGTAGATGCTTATAAAATTGGACTTAAACCAGAGTATTTAAACCCCTTGATAGGATTCATTCTTGCTCATCAGTTAATAAAATTGGATTTCAGCCTTTTGGCTGTGGGCAACAGTTACTACCGTTGAATATTACTGGGCAACGGTTCACACTGTTGATTTTTATTTTCCATTCCATCAACTATGCAATTTGGTTTTATGCCTAGACGCTCAACAACTGAGGTCATTCACCTTCTTAGACAAGTTGTGGAGAAGTATAGAGACACTAAAAAGGATCTTCATTTGGTGTTCATTGACTTAGAAAAGGCATATGATAGGGGGTACCTCGAGAAGTTCTTTGATGGGTCTTAAGTAGAAAAGGCATATCACGTAAGTATATGAGCATCATCATGGATATGTATGATGCTTGTAGTACAAGTGTCCGCACTAGTGTAGGGAGGACCGCAGAGTTCCCTATTACTATCGGAGTGCACCAAGGATCTGCTCTGAGTCCTTTCTTATTTGCTATAGTCATGGATGAACTTACGAAATCAATTCAAGAAGAAATATTGTGGTGCATGATGTTTGCCGTGGATATTGTATTGATCGATGAGACACAATCCGGTGTTAAAGCAAAGTTGGAAGTATGGCGACAAACATTGGAGAGCAAGGGTTTCAGACTGAGCCGAAACAAGACTGAGTATATGGAGTGCAAGTTAGGTGGAGGTAGAAGTAGTAGCAACAGTGGGATTACTCTTGATGGTAAGGAGATACCGGTGTGTGATATGTTCTGTTACTTGGGATCCATAATTCAGAAGGATGCTGAATTAGATGGAGTTGTATGCCATAGAATCAGAGCTAGGTGGATGAAATGGAAGAGTGCTTCAGGATTTCTATGCGATCGAGGTATGCCGACTAGACTGAAAGGTAAATTTTATTGTACAGCAATTAGGCCGGCATTAATGTATGGCGTAGAGTGTTGGGCGGTGAAGCAATGCCACATTCAAAAGATGAGTGTGGCAAAGATGCATATGTTGCATTGGATGTGTGGACATACCAGAAAAGACCGCTTGAGGAATGAGGTAATCAGACAAAAGGTGAGAGTAGCACTTATAGAAGATAAGATGCAGGAGTCTCGTTTGCGATGGTTTGAGCATGTGCGTAGAAGACCGAGTGACGCACCTGTTAGACGACTTGAGGGGTGGGAAGAAGAGTCAAAGAAGAGAGGGAGGGGAAGACCCAAACAGACTTGGATTAGAGGAATCAGAACTGATATGCGTCTTCTTGAGTTGGATGAGAGTATGGCTTTGGAGAGAGCAAAGTGGAGGGTGCACATCTGTGTGGACGATTGATGTCTTGTCTACGTTTCCTCTCTTTTTTCTTTTATCGTTTATCTTCCTTATCTTTTTATATTCTTATGTTGTTTTTATCTTCTAGCTTTTTTATGCTCTTTTATTTTTTATCTTTTATCTTTCTTATATTCTTGTGTTATTGTGATCTTATATTTATTTATCTTTATTTTATTCATTTTATCTTACTTTTTTTCCCTTTCTTGCCCGTCTTCTCTTTTTGGCATTGATATCATAGATCGATTCATGTTAGCCGACCCCAAATTCTTTTGGGATTAAGGCTTGGATGTTGTTGTTGTATCAACTATGCAATTTATGCACTTAAAACATATGTAAAGAAGACGGATTGGACCAAATTTGTGGCGGGTCGGGCCTTGGCTCTGCCCATGGGATAAATGAGGCAAGCACTCAAAATCTGATTCAATATTCCGAATACAGAACAATAAAATTGAAGAAAGTGCAAGCTTACATAAAGAAAAGGGAAAAATACAAGCCAAAATGATAAAATTGAAATCGAAGACTAGGAGTGTGTACCTATTACTGAATGAATATTTGCATAACTTGATAATGAGATAAAAATGGCAATCACAAATCTATGTATAACTACATAGGGATAAAAGGTCCAGGATGACAAAGTATAAAAACAAACAAATTAAGGTTTCTCCAAACAATGCACTTTTTTATGTTTTCCTATACAATAAGTTTAAAGTTAAAACAATATTTTTCCCTTGACAATAAGATATCAATTCAGAAAATGCACTTTTTAGGTTTCTTCTCAGCTTCAAAAGAGAAAGGGTGTCATTTGAGTAAAAGTAGGGCTGAAGAGGGGTGCAAATTGTATTTGTTTTTTATTTTTGCTTGCCTCAGAAATCAGAACCAATGCTCAAACATTTTTGGTAAAATTACAACTTTTTAAAGGTACATAGTTTGAAGACATAAATCATGAAGAAGCATTTCCGATTTCAAAACTTATTTGTTAGATTATCTATTTGGGTCACATTAAAATTGTTTGTAACCCTTTTTTACAAAGCATTGGAAAGTTTCATGAAAAATTAGGTTCTTTCGATGAAATGTGACTTTCTTATGAATAATAAAACTAAACCATGTCTTTTGGTGGGGACAGGGTGATAAGCAGCAATGAAGATAAAGTTAGTGTGACCAACCGATGTTCCGTTTCTGCTCTGGAAATAGAGTAATTGCCTGTTCCAACCCCCATGGACCTCAACATGAGCTTCAGAGCCATACAGAAATGGCTCTTTTGAAGTCAGGTCAGTTAGAAGTAGACTTGAAAGAACCAAGAAACCGCTGAAACACTTCTTTTGAGCTACAGCAGATTTATATGTCTGTAAATCAACTTTGGTAACATCAAAACCAACTAGATAAGTTGGGGGAGCAGATACATTTGACATGGTGAGTGCATTAGTGAAAGCGGATTTTCCTCTTCGAATTGTTGACTCATCCTTCAAATCTTCAAAGTAAAAAAAGATATAATAGCAAAGCACTATGCATAAAACTACAATCAAATCTTCAAAGTAAGGAATGCAAAGTGCCGCACTATGCATAAAACTATAAAGAATTGCACAGATGTTATTGTACTTGTTTTACAAATTTCATACCCCTGTTGTTGCAGGTAGTGTTTTTTTTAGCTTCAGAAGAGTAGTCCCTAAAATGTTGCCAAGTACATTCTATGTCATTGCATTTCCCCCGGAGTTCATACATGCAAAGCGGCCAAAGTGGATCGATAGCAAATTCGCAGGAATAAGAACCATTCTTGTTGGAATGTAGATCCAGTGAAGCATATTCATCTACTCTGAAAGTATTCCCCGGGGTCTCATCATCGTTTGCATTATTAACATGAGAAGCTTGAATATTCACACCTCTAATCTGTGGTTTGCCAAAATTAGTGGTATGAGAATGCTTAAGGTGAGAAAATGCACTCCTGAAAGCAGGAAGAGAGAAGGTGGCGAAATTTGATGATTGTGAGTGCTGCTCATCTATGGACATGCAACTGCTCAAATGACTAGTGGACAACATAGAGGAAAAATTGGATCCAAATGTATCATTATTGCAACGGTCATTTATCTCAACAGGGGTGTCATACTCTATATCTGCTTTATCAGAAGATACTGGAAAAAAACAAAAAAAAAACAGAATCAAAGACATGTGACAAAAATGATATCCCCTCCCATGCAAAATGCAGTTGTGACACCTTAAACCCATAATTTTTTGACAGCAAAAAGAGTTTGTAGGTAGACAGAAATTATAAATCAAGAGAAACAAAAAAAAAAGAAATTAAGACCAAAATAAATGCAGTAACTGAAACAATGCAAGTTCAACAAATATGGTTGTTCATAACTTAGAAAAGTAGAATAAAAGGCACTTGGCACTGCATTTCCTTCAAGTAACATTTTGACAAAGATTTTCAGGACTGTTAGCCTCTAGCTGCATATAATATTGTCAAGAAACTCCATAGTAGAAAAAAGATGTACAGTGGAAGAATACCAGGGAAGTCAGAAGCCTTTTCTTTCTCAACATCAGATGATGATATATTGCCTGAACTCAATCCCATCCTTCTTCCGAAATCATCCACTTCTAACAAACTCTCAGTGATGGTCTCCACATTCGGGCTTCCTCCTACTTTCTTAGGCAAAGCTTTCATTTTTAACCTTTCAAAGAGCTGAGATCTCAAAGACGCTTCAAGTAACAAAGTATCCCGAGAACTATCCATAGCTAACTGCCTTTCTGGTACGTCGTTTGCCTCCTTTTCCTGGACCACCCCAAATGCCCCCTCCCCTTGATATTCGGAGCTGTTCTGAGGGGACCTTTGAAGCAACCCATCTTCCTCCTCCGCAGACATACTGATGTCATCAGCTTGCAAGCAGACACCACTTTCTTTGTGATTGACCTTATTAAGCTCAGACGTACTAACATCAGGCTCACTAAAAGGATCAGAAGTCACTTTTTCCCTATCATCAACATGCATGTCTGATGCATTTTGCATGGCCTCGAAAGCAGAATGGAACTCTGCATCACGCATTTGATGATCTCGGCCATCACAATCAAGCTGTGCAGGACAGCATGAAGAGAGCATTAAATGCCTATTAGCACCGTAATTGGTTGAGGGGTTGAAATCAGTTTCAATGTGAGATCCAAGAGGGAACAACGTATTAGGATAGACTGGATTCTCTATCATAAGACGTCGAAGCTGTGCTGAGTATATCTCTCTTTTACTAAATAGAGCAGAACATCTAGCATTTGCCTCAATCAAGGCCTTCTGAGCCTTCCTATAGGAATTGAGAGCATTTCTTTCTTCAATTTCACACTTGCGCCGATATTCCTGGGCCTCCTCAAGCTGCTTATCATGTAATTCCTCAGTGTCCAACAACGATTGCAAATCCATGCCACTATTCCTAGACATGTTTACTTTTCTGAAGTTGTGTGGAACTTGTTGAATATTCAGGGGTTCCTTTATCCATAGAAGAAATTCCAAAAAAATCAGTGTCCATGTAGTAGTTAACTCACTGTCTCACAGGGAATCGGTATCATAGGCATTAGAGAACAATTAGCAACAAAACATAGCCCGGGGAAATGATCTGGTTCAACTTTTCACTTCCCCAGTCTGTGCGGCTAAAAATCTATTCACCAGAATGTGAGTATTGATTACTAAGGTACCGTCAACAGCATGAAGGTTTTACCTGGTTTACATTCTGGGTGACATGTGGATGTGGTTGATCATCAAGTGCAACTGGATCACTAGGGCTTCTTCCTGTACAACTCTTACCAGCTTGCCCAGGGCCAGGGATGAATTGGTGACTATGCTTAGTTGGACCCTTCAACTCCACTTCCTTCTTATAACAGCAAAAGTACAAACACAGATTTTAGGGTCTAAGACATAGACTGATAAATCAAATCATGAAACATACAAAATCACATTGGTTAACATATAGTATAAAACAAAGTTATTGCAATTTTAACATTGATACTTAGACACGAGCTTTAATTCTTTAAAACAGGACTGCTAATGGGAAGTGGCAGTGCCTTTATAGGTTTAAGATCTGATCATTGATATACAGATTAAAAATATAACTGCCAATCAGAAATGGCGGTCCATTTAAAGGTCTAAGTTCTATACAGAAGGGTTAGAAGATGTATTGGCACAGCATAAAAATTGGATGACATGGAAAGGGGAAGCAGAAATCCTTCATGACCAGGGGGGGACCTGTGACTGGAAAACAGCCACAACCTAGATTAAGAAACAGGAGAGTAAAGAACCTGTTGTAAACCCTCATTCAATCACTCTTTAGAAAATTGACGGTCTAAAGATTGACAGGAGACAAAACACAAGATTTATTTAAAAAATGATATCAAATAATTATTTCCCTTTTTACGTTTGCTTTCAAGTGAAGCGTTGTGTACTTCAACAATTCTAGATCCCTCCATTACGTGAAAAATGGTGTTACACACTCCAATGACCCAAACATATTCGAGCAACTCCTCCAAACAAACATATTCGAGCAACTTCTTGGATCAACACAGATAAATAAACACACGCATAAAGTAATGATGTTCTCCTCTCATGGGATTATAATCACTCTAGTAATTTAGGCAGCACCATAAGGGCCAAATCGAGACTAGAGCATAGCAATCCGGAAATAAACTTTCATGTTTACAAAATAATACCCCCTCAGTCACTTGTAACTTTGTCAAGATTGATTGGCACGGAGAATAATAAAGTAAAAACTGTGTGGTTGAGATTTGTGCACAAGATAAAGAAAATAATAGGAACCACAATATAATTGATCAAAAGGGAAAGTGAAAAAGTTTGTTGGAACAATAAAAACGGAAAGATGACAAAGTTGTAAGGGACGGGAGTAAGAATTTAATCATCCCCTTCTTATTTTGTATTTCAAGTGAAGAATTAAGTTTGTCTATGTCCCTCCATCAGATGAAAAATGGTGTTACACTCCAATGACCTGAACATGCTCATACAACTTCTCCAATCAGCACAGAGAAAAAGAATGCACATGAACATTGTGATATTATCTTTTAAAGTAGATTATAGGCATCCGTGTACACTGTATATGACCTGTTTGGGAGAGCAGTCAGTCATATGGATTTCACCTGTTCAGCTGTTCTAAACTCATAATAATTGAATAAGGCACTGTAACACGTGATTAGCTACGCGAGTGCTGTATATGGTAGCATTGTCTGATAACAAATTTCAATTCAATGCTAATTGTAAAAATGCATTTAAACTATAAAGTACCCAAACAATTCTATGGACAAGTTTACACCTCCCAAGCCCTAAAAAAGTGCCCCCTTGTAAGTATAATAAAAGAGGCGCATGGATGTCTGTTGTCTAACATGACAGAACAATAACCATGAATATAATAACAAATGTATTTACATAATTATTACAAATAAGATATTTTGGCAGCCTGTAACATACTGAATCATTAGCAACTGCAGCTTGTGCTGATGTAATCATACAGTCCCTCAGGTTTGTTTTCCGGCCACTTTGACTTGTCAATAAATCAGTACCTACACAAGAGCAACCACCTATCCTTTAGCGTCCGACATTTTTATCAAAAGAATTGCTCAACTCCTCAATAGTAAAATGATTACCTGCCTTCCTACCAGTAGGTAATTTTGTCAAATACATAGAACCCTGATTTTCATGCTCATGGTGTATAGCAAGGCCTGCATGAGGTCTCTCAAACATTTCACCATGACTGCTTTGACCACCAAGACCAGGTTGACCACAATTTTCTGACACAGATTTTTCGGATGGTAATAGTGTATCTGTGACTTGAGAATTCTGAACCATCTGGCTTGAATGATTTTCATCAATCTTTTGGCGCTTTTTGGTAGGTTCTTTTGACTCGTGGGACATGTTTTCTGCACCAGTGGCTCCGGAGAAACCTCTCATGCTAATGCATGTACCCATAACACTGAGATCCTTACATTCAGTTGAACTAAAACTCTTCACTTGCTGAGTACCCTTAAGCTTCAATTCGTTCTCCCGAATAGCAATCAATTGGCGTAAATCTTGTAGTTTACTATTATTCAATGTGGTATTTGTTTTACGCAAAAGAGATGGACCATTTGTCTGTTTAAAATTGTTATTATTTCGGACGTTTAAAGTCAATCCACCCCTTCTAGCCATAACAGTACTGTTTTTATGAGATGAAGACACAAACTGGTGAGTAAGGGGCAATTTTTTCATCACTCTAGCCTCATTTTTAATTACTTTTCCTAGTTTGAGTGGTCTACGTGCAGCTGCTTCTGCTTGTGGGAGTTTGCTACTTGTATTTACAGATAAGCACCTGTTTTCCCTTATCAATGTGTTTTTCTGTGCAGTGCCCTCTGGGTCACTGCCACTTTCATCATCTGAAAAACTTATCAGGAAGGGCACAAATGAGCCTCGATTCTTATCGGAACTTTTATGAAATTTTGACTCTTGAGATGCTTGTGAACTTAATTTCGCCAATGTGTTAGAAGACGCACACCTTCCTGCAGATAAGGATAGAAATATTAGAAAGCAAAGGATAAGTTATTCCAGAAAATTAATAAATCAATAAACCCATTCAAAGAAAGGTTTGCAATAAATTTTAAACAGGAATTCAAGACCATACTTCAAATGAAGTCAACTCCATTCAAGTTATTGATAGAACACAGTAGAAGATCAGTACATGGACAATGGATTGATCACATCAAGTAAGATATAAGATGTATACATAATACAAATAAGAGAGCTTATATTGGTCACACGTAAGTATGGCAGCATGTACCAGCCTCAATATCATGTGCATCTTTAACCAATTCAACTTCCAAGGGCTTCAGTTCAGCTGCATTCACACCAGTGAATTGAGAAGTTGAGCAGTGAGGTTGGTTTTCCTGTGACAGGCAATTCCTTCAACTCTTGAGTACTTGGAATGTGTAAATTAAAACAGGTTCAATAATTAGTTTCATATTTCTGGTTTCTTCTATCTCGCACCACTTCCCTCATTACATTACCAAAATTGGTAAATTTTAAAGTCACAATGGGGTACAATCAAAAAAAAATGCAGACTAGTAAAAAATTCAGAAACTTTTAAAACCAATACATTATCTTTGTTGTGATCCATTAGCAAATTTCTTATTGAAAATATGAAGCTAATATAAACATATCCGAAACAGATAAGAGCAGAGGGGAAGTGATGCTATAAACAAAAAAAAGAAGTTAACAACTTAAGCAGAACAGAAAACAAAATGGCATTATAAATCTCAAAAGCAAACCAGGTTCCGAAAGTAGAAGCAAAAACAGAAGCGGTGTTTAGAAGAGGAAATACGTCATCGTCGGATGTGCTGAGCTCTCCTTCCTCCCTACTAGTCGAGGTTATCTCCTTAGTAGGAAGAGCATGCCGTTCCTGCGCAGACTCTGAGTTATTAGGGTTTTCCATTGAAATTCCTTTAAAAGCTGCTTCTGATACCACCAGGTGTTTCCCCTCCGGCATTTTGCTACGCTCCATTACTCATTTATTTACTCACCATAGCTCGCTTTCTCTCTCCCGCCTCTCACTCCCTCATTGGCTGTGCCAACGACGGACTGATAGAGAAAGTCGCCACTTTCCGAGAGAGAGGATTCAGTCAGTTACACGGTATCTAACTATGAGGTGACGGAGAGACGAAATACTCCGTCGTTTTGGCACAAAATATTAATGTCAAAAAGTTCCTCTTAATTTTAGTTGAAGCTAGATTTTCATCCCGGGATGCGCAAGATATTAAAATGTGATAGTGGTACGACATTATTCTCTTCGTCCCGCTAGAAGGTTCACACTTTCCTTATTTGGACGTCCCGTTAGAAGGTTCACACTTTCCTTATTTGAACGTCCCGTTAGAAAGTTCACATTTTCATTTTAGGAAACAATTAACAATCTTAAGTGACAAATTAATCATTAAATATTAAAAAATAATACATTTATAGCATCACAGTTATCAATACTAACTACATTATAATATACAACTATTAAAATTATTTCTCAAAATATACTCGAAGTACTTTATTTAATTATTGTCTAAATAACCGTGTCGTTTTGCTATGGGAACCTTCCAACAGGACGGAGGGAGTATTATTAAAGGTGAGACAGTGAAAACTCAAAGATAGATAGCAAGTATGTTTTGGAATAAGTAGAAAAAGCTAAACATTATATAGGGTTTCACAATCTACACATTGAATAAATTCGTAGGTCAGATTTTGTAAGTATAACACGTAACCTACATAATATACAGCACAAAGCAATCCAGTTGTTGAATCAATTCGTAGTTCAGATTTTATAAGTGTAACACGCCACCTACATAATATATAGCACAAAGCAACCCAATATGTAGCAGTGTAGTACTGTAGTACTGAGCATTAAATGAGCATTTATAGTAGGGGTGGGCATTTCGGTTTTCGTTTCGATTTTCTTCGGTTTCGGTTTAATCGGTTTGATAGAAAATGTACCAAATACAAACCGATTAAGTTTCGATTTGGTTTCGGTTTTGTATGGTTCGGTTCGGTTTGGAGTTCGGTTTACCAAAGTATTAAGGTTTGGATTGAAAAAAAAATAACTCAAAATAATGAACCAAGAAGCGATAGTAATGAACCAAATATAATGTTTGATATAAATTTACAAACATTAACAAAACACATATGAACAAAAAATATATAAGCATGAAACATTTGTGAGCAATAACAACAACGAGAAAGAATCAAATTATATATAAATCCGAAACAAAAACAAAACTGGTGCTTGTAACTAATGAACCAAATATATAGTAGTAGTAGTAGATAATGAATTATAGTTAAATACTATCTACTTAAACCACTATAATTGTTATAGTTGTGAATGTAACTCTTGTAGTAAACTCTAGTCATGGACACTAAAATTAAAGAATTAAAGCTTCAAAAAGATTAACATCATTCAAATTAATGAGAGAAATCTTATATTTTGGTTTGATTTAGTTTGGTGTAAGTTGGTTTTGATTTGTTATTTTAAAAAAATAAGAAATTCTTTCATTTTTAGATCAGTTCGGTTTTATTCGGTTTTATGATTTCGGTTCGGTTTGGTTCGGTTTAATACGAGTTGGAAGGAATACTACCAAACTCAAATCAAATTACAAATGGTTCGGTTTCGGTTCGGTTTAATTCGGATTGGTACGGTTCGGTTCGGTCAAACCGAACTGTTATACCCACCCCTAATTTATAGCAACTATGTAGAGCTTTACTATTTACTCGACCCGACTCATATTTAATCTATTGTTTTGGGCGGGAAAATTGGCTAAAAATCCACTTCTTTTTATATATAGATAGAAACAATAAAATTCAACAGTAATACTAAATCTATTTTATATATTTTATATACTTTTAAAATCGCAAAAATCACAATTTGAATATAAAAACAAACAATATTATCAACTAACTTAATAAAGTTATAAACTTTTGACAACTATCACTTTGTACAGGTCAATTTAAGATGTTATATGTGACTCAATTAGATTCAACCCAGCTTAACACCTTAAAGTAACACCTACCCAACAACCCAAACCTAACCCTTCATATATAATTAACCTTTTACCCAACACCCTAACCATTTACCCATCAGGCCATCAGCCTCCTTCACCGACCTTCGCATCTTATTCTTCAATCAGCGATACTATCGCTCGTTCCGTTCTCTGTTGGTGTCGATTAGCGCTTCTTTAATTCTTACCATCACGTAACATGCATAATAAATTTTTATTAAAGATCGGATAGTGAAAACTCATAGATAGATAGCAAGTATGTTTTGGAATAAGTAGAAAAAACTAAACGTTATGTAGGGTTTCACAATCTACACATTGCGAAAAACTTCCTTATAAACTACATTGGTGGTGTGGTCAGTTGGTTGGTCATCTTCACCGCATATCAATATCTTCAAACCCTTACGATTTAAACCCTTGACACTGCAACATACAGTTGACCATGCGTGAAGACCGATTTTTTCAATAAAAGACCAACATGAGACAAAGATTGTCCCTCACTCTTATTTATAGTCATCGCATAAGAGGTCATTACTGGAAATTGTCTTCTCTGAAACTTGAACGGTATTTTTGAATCTGAAGGAGTTAAGCTTAACCTCAAAATGATAACCTCATGCCCGACATATTTTCCGCCCATAATTTTTGCCACTATGTTGTGATTTTTAAGTCGTGTAACAATTAACCTTGTTCCATTGCAAAGCCCCATCGAAGGATCAATATTTCTTAAAAGCATTATTGGAGTACCAACCTTTAGGGTTAACTCATGGTTTGGAACTCCAGATGCACGTATTTTGTTGAGAAATTCAGGAGTGTGCAAATCAGCCAGCAAATCCGCATTTGAGTCTGACTTGCAAATGTTATCTGAACTTAAATATGTCATTGACTTTTAATTAACATTCAAAGAAGTCATGTATTCATTGATTGCATCGATAACATCAAGGGTTGGAGCCAGAATAACACGCTCTTGCAAGTAAGTCGGGTCATTCACAATATTCTCAAAGTTTGGATAGGTGCTATGGACAATAGTAGCAATGGGATCGTTTCCACACTCTAACAAAAACTCATTTGGAATTTTTACATTGGCAAAGCCATCATTATCTTCCCCCGCAGTTTCATCCCCTAAACTCGCAATCCACTTTGCAAACTCAAGCAAATCTTCATATTCACGACCATCAGTCAATGATTGCAACATCATGTTCTTCGTCAAATGTAATACCAAACATTGATGCCAAATATATGAAGAATTAATTGTGAAATTCACAATTTCTTATCTAGTACCTTTTGTAATGACTGGTAAAATTTGTCTCAAATCTCCCCCGAATACCACCGTTTTCCCTCCAAATGGTTTTTCAGCACTATTTGAATTACTGAATCTCAAGATGTCCCGCAAACTTCTATCTAAGGCTTCGAAGCAATACTTGTGCATCATCGGTGCCTCATTCCTTGCACCGAATTATCATTTGAGCTAGTGGAATGCCTTGTTTAATGTTGCACGTGGAGGTTTCATTCGGGTTGATTGGTATTGCAAAGCGTGAATGAGCCGTCCTACCACCCGGTAACCATAAAGCTGCTATGCCACTCGCAGCAACATTTAAAACAATTTCTCCTTTGGACCTCAAAGCAGCTGACAACGTCTTCCACGCAAACGTTTTCCCCGTACCTCCATAACCATATACAAAGAAAACCCCACCATTATTTTCTTCAGTAGATTGCATAATGGTTGTGTACACCTGACGTTGTTCATCATTGAGACTTTGCATTCGTCTGTCTTGCTCTTCACGTGAGGCGGCACGATCGTACTGCAATTCGTCAAAAACAAGCCTCTTTTGATACATGACAACATCACTTATCGTGGGGAATGACATTGATGGATAATCCTTTAATGTCCTACCAATTCTTCTCAACATCATTTCTATTTCAGTCAATGTATAATTCTTAATCTCAGCCTCGATCAACTTCAAATATGATATTATATGTATGAAAAGAGTAATATCAAATAACATGTGCAAAATATATTGAATAGTCTTGAAAATATATATATACATATGTGTATCAGTATATGTATGTGAAAAATATCAATAGTTTAGTACGTGGATGCATTAAAGCTCTTCTTTGCTTGTGTAGAATGTCATCTGACATAAATGTCCAACGCTTGTTCCACAGATATTATGGTCTACTCATTGTATGTGCTGCCAATAAAATCACAAACAACTTTCTAAGTAAGCATGCAGAAGCCCAATAACTACCTTCTGAAAATCCTTCAATGTACTCCTTGTCATCGTCCAACAACCCTAAGGCAAAACATGCCTCACGATATGTATTATGAATAATTCCATCCGCAGTTCTAAGATCATCATACCTTGTAGCCCCACGTCACAAATTAAGGACACGTCGCAAGTAATTTTGAAACCAGCGCCTGAGAGCGTCTCGCTCCTGGGAAACCTGCGACCCAGTTTCTTCTTCCGCGTTCAGGGCTCCCATGGATTCTCAATGTTGAAAGATGACGATTTCTTACATATTCGCAGTAGTTAACACTTAGTAAACCTAAATATGTCCTTGGATTTGGGATTGGAAGGGAGATTTGTGTCCAGAATCGAGAAAGCAAAAGCTGAAATCGCGGTACTATTCATTTCGAATACGAAGATTCCTGTTTCTCTTGCGCGACCCAAATCGTTGCCTGAGTTAGGGTTCCACGGTCTTCGACTCGCTCATGTACTACGTTTGGAATAGGGGTGGTGGATGATTTCACGAATACCATACGCTCCCAGTGTTTGCGATTGTCAGAGGCGGGTGGATATGGTGAGGAAGAAACAGGGGTTTGGGGACACATCCACTGCTCGTGCTACTCGTTTTTCAACGAGGTTCGAAATCTTGGCAGGTATGGAAGATGATTTCCCATCTCTGATTTCTGGGAAGAATGGGAAAAATTCTGTTTTGAACTCTACTGCGACCAGTAATCCAGACCATACGGCTGGTGAATTTCCAGTCCTTGTTGCTGGGAAGGCCACGGGAATCCCAGTTATTTACACGGCCAAAACTTCCTTGGCTCTGGCAGTCCCTTATGATGCTGCACCCTGGTTTGCACCCTGCTGCTGTGTTCCAGCAGACTCTGGCAGTCCCTTATGATGCTGAAAAGGTCAAGAAGAAGGCTCCATGCATTGCCAATGA